CATAGAAAATGTTGCATTTTTGTCTGAGCTTTGTGATCCAGGAAAACAAGAAAGGACCAGAGAAGTCAACAGTACCTCCGTCCGTCCGTGGTTTGGAGTATCGGCTCACTGCAAAGTCCACATCTTCTCACATGACCTGGTAAGACACACGAATGCTCTCCTTTCTGATACAGATACAGATACAAGGCCAGATACAGATCCTCCAAACTCCCTTTCTGTGCCCCAAAACAGATTAGCTAAACTGCTTGCCCTGCTCATCAGTCTGAACACAATGCTTATTAAACAAACTTTGGTTAAAATTTTCTGCTGCCCCGAGTTCCTTGAACTTTAACTGCTTTCCCTAACCTGAGCAGCATATACAGCCCCTCTGGAGAAAGAGACTGGCTTCAGAGTATAACATTCTCTGACCTACTGTCCAATCATGTCACCCTTTTAACTCACTTCCTCACATCCAGTTCTTTCTGCCCTGTTTATTCCTCTCTAAAAAAGAGAAAACTCTTTGTGCCTAACTCTTGAGATCCTTTCAGTTCCTGTGGTCAAAGCTCTCTTCATTGAAAATAGTCTCCATCTTTTACTACAATACCCTCTGCCCCATAATCCTTTTGAATAAAGTCTCTCCTTACTAAGCCCAGATTTTTTTTTTATTTGACAACACACACACAAACATCATGCGTGCATATACACAAATACACTGTAAAAGTCAAAAATACAGAAATGAAAAATTAAAAGGAATAACAGAAAATGTTCTAAAGATAACCACCTAATATGTGGAGGGATGGAAGGAGGGAAATAGGGATGGAGAGAAAAGGCAAGAGAGACAGAGAGAATGGATGAAAGTACTGGTTTCATTAATTTGGGTCCTTGTAAACACATGCAATTTTTGAAATGAAAAGTATTCATCCCATTTACATGAATTTAGCAGAAGAAAAAAAATGTGCAATGGAAATTGCAAACATAGCTGAATTAAAAGAAAAATCTCTGATAAAAAAAAGATACTATTTTTCTAAAAGATGTTGTTAAGGTTAAGAAAAACAAAGTTTTTAAATTTCCATGTTTCAACTTATGGTGGTATTGATTTGCTTCATGCCAGGAAAGAAAGGGCACTAACATTCTCATTTATCATACCTCCCCTCACCTGCCTCTACATATTCATGTAATAATTTTGATTGTTTTATATTTAGTAAGATGAATAATTACTCTGCTGTTTTCAAGTTTCTTGAATTAACAAAACCTCCTAGTATTATTTTTATATTTAAGTAATTTGAGTGAAACTAAGATACTTTATAAAAATCATGGCTTCTATAAATGCTGAAATCTTTGTTTTGATTCATCTCTTGTTGGAATTAATGTTTAGGACATTTTGTTGTGTTGCTGTCATTGTTATTTGTTTTCAAAAAGAACTCACAAGTATTGAACTCCCTGGATTCCTTCATGTTCAGAAAACTCCTGTTGTTTTTCTAATTGAACTAAGTCTTGGTGTATTGTTTCTTTCAAGACATGGCAGCATTGTTTCACTGGCTTCTCATCACAGATGTTTGACTATGTAGCTGTGTGGGTCCAGCCCAGGATTACCCTATTTGCCTGTAATTTGCTTCTTCTCTTTGGATTGCCAAAATATTTCTACCTTTATCCTTGAATTTCAAAAATTACTAATCCAAGATATTTTGTGGTCTTGAGTATTCTGTTTTGGTTTTTCCTACAAGTCAGTACATATTTTGATTTAAAATTTCATACACTTATTATGTTAAAGAACCTATATTCTATTATATCTGGGTGTCCTTTGTTATGTTTGTTGAGTACCCTGCTTCAAAAACACACATCTTCATCTCACCTGTGTATCAGGTACCTCCTCTCTGTGTTAATCTCCTTTTTAGTTTTTCTCACTTGTCATTATTAGGAGCTTTTTAGCTTCCTTTCTGTGTCTGTAATTTGAATTTTTTAAATGCGTGTTTAAAAAAATGTGTATTTGTCTCATTACTTTCATATTATTTCTTAATGCCACATTCTCCCTTTTCTTCTCCCTCTGTTTTCTTATAACCACTTAGTTGGGCAACTTGTCCGGACTTTTTATTTTCTCTCATATTGTGTGTGTGTCTGTACCCATGTGTGTGTGAGAAAGAGAGGACTTTTCTCTTCCTGTAAGATCTGAGACTTGGGGGCTTAACCCTTTGAGCTATAATTTGGGATGTGGATATTTATTTTCTTACCTGTGTTTTATATACTTTGAGGACATGTCTGGGGATGGGCATGAGTTCAGACATAATGGTGTTCAGAGTATTCTTCAGGGCACCAACTCCTAGTTCTGTAGGTAGAAAAAAACAATGTTTGTAAATACCAGCAAGTGTGAGCTAGCTAAAAAAAGTATCTTATAGAGATTGTATTCTAGCCTTGGATCCATTCCAGGCATCTGGGCCCAGGAGGTTTGCCAGCATTCTGCCATTCAACTCCTCCTCTCCCTTTGAGATGCTTTCATTTCTGATGGGTCTTACATGTCCTATAGGTAGATTCACATCACCTAGTTGGTGGGGGCTTACTATGTCTGCTAAATTCCTTCTCCCAATGAGTATTTGGAGCCAAAGCAAATTTATTCCATCAGAGCCACAGCCCTGTCATTCATGTTCTTTATTCTCTCTAGTAGCTGGTTCCACAACATGTCAGTTAAAAGAGGGAGAAGATTAACATGTAGTCAGTTTACTCCATAACTAAGAACATTTATGAAGATTCTCATATTGCTACTTCTGCTTTATTCCAGAATCTTCTATGTATTTCCTGCTCAACTTGGGAATTGTAGGGCATTTGGCCCCTTATTTGGGGTTTCTGTGGAGGTGTTTCTATGATGATTTTGACAATGTCTTTGGTCAGTGTTTCATACCACAATACCTGTAAGGATCTCCCCAAAAGTCTCTGGCTCCCCAGGAGTGTCATGCATGTCCACATGGGAAGTTCTTCCATGCTTTCATTTCAACATCAGGTGATGCCTGTTTCTTGAAGGCCACATGGGGGTAATGCCTTATTGCTGTCACTGTTACCAGGCCTCCTTTGTCAACATGACCCCCCTTTACCGGGTTGCCTTTCTCCTGCAATCTTGAACATTTCTAAAACGTCACACTGTGTAAAAGCATCCAGTCTTCACAGCAACTCTAAATGCTTATTGAACCTTGTCTCTAGGGACCTAATGCAGTGTAGTTTATAGTTAGGGTCTTACAAAATCCTTCTTCAAATCAATGTCTTTACATTCTACTTTCTCCCAGCAATTCAACATAATCCATGAGCCATACTCTTCAACTCTCTCCCTCCACGTCCTTAGTCCTTAGAAACCTCCAAAGAGGCCCAGGAGGAGATTTCACTTGACCAGAGGTCTGGAAAGAGACCTGAATCTCAGTTTAGGCTTCTCTGAAACACTCTGATGATGTGTGTTAATGGTTTATACATTTATATGCATACATTAAAACAGATACATATGATTAAAACTTTACATAAGTCCATAATTATTTATATAGAATGAATTTCTTGAAGTAGTTAATAGAAATGCAAGATTATAATACTTTTTCTTTAAAGAGTGCTCACATATCAGCACTGTCTTGCTGTAGTGTTATGTCTTCTTTATTGTTTTAACATTAGCCAACTTGATGTATTAAAATGTAGCATAGATTATTTATTATTTCTTTCCTTACTAGTTGACTATTGTTACATACACTTTTTGGATAGTTGGATGTCTGAACCTGTCATTTGTCAATTTATTTTGTTGATACACTTTTCCTGCTGATTTCTTGCAAAAATGCTATCATGTATCCATCTATCTATTTATCATCTTTCTCTATTTACGTATCTATCCATCTATCCTCTACCTACCTGTATTTATCAAATTTTTGCTTATAATACTGTTTAGGCCATATAAAAATGCATATTTGGTTACCTTTTTAAATATAGGTTAATTTTTATATTCCCCTTTCACACCATGCCTATCCTGAGGGCCTAGGCTTTCTGTTTTTTGTCTTGCTTGCCTCTCTTAAATCTGCGACTCACCACTTTGAAACCATGTTTTGCCTTCTGCCTGATACATTCTTGAATATCTGCTCTCATGCCCATGTTCTGATCAGAAGTCTTCATATTTACCTTAACATCTCTGTTCTAAATCACAGGTTTTGTTTCTCTCTCAGTTGTTCTCAGGGAAGATAACCCCTCTTACTCTCTATCCTCTCCCATCTATGTAATTTCATCCAATATTAAGCCCTATTCCACAGTCTATTTCCTCTCCTCATTCTCTTATTTTTCTAGACAGAATCTAACATATAACATTTACATAAGCAAGTGAATTAGTTTAACATTTTGTGTTCCCTTCTTGTATGTATGAAGATTACAGAAACAGTGAGATTCCACTCTTTAAGTAATTTCAGGAATTACAGAATTTATGTGAGATGGTGCTTATAGAACTCAATCTAAGAATTTCTAAAAACAGAATTAAAATTTTTCTGAGATAAATTGGTATTTCTCCTGCTATGGTCACTTCTGACAATTTGAATATGCACGAAAGCCAGGAGTCACCCCTTAAAAAATAGTGATAGGAGACACACTGTCTTCTACTGCATGTAATTACAATGAATTATTTTATATCATAACATTGGAAAATGATAAAAATGTTGTATGGCCCCTGTCCCTGGTGCACTGCCCTATCCACATCCATATTGCTTTATAATAAAATGGTAAATGGCTTATTTGCTTTTTGGTTTGTGTAGGTGCTGGCTGAGTTAACACACTCTTGAATTTCATCTATTTTAAATCAAATGTTCTACATAAACTTGGCTTCTCTCAGCTGCCTGAGCCCATTACTAAGTTATATATTCCCTTTTCATTGCTCCATCACAGTGCTATAGATTTGAATGACATGAGTCATCTGTGGTTTCACTTTTGAAAGGCTCTATAGCAACTTAAGATACTGTTTTCAGATTGGACTGCATTGTGCAACTCATATCCTCCTTCTACCTTGATTCCCAACAGGACTCCTTAGATAGATAATAATATATTTGAATAGGAAACATCCAATCCAAAATATTTGCACACATAGTAATTGAATGACTGGAAGCAGAAGATAATTTTCTTATTATTAATCTTGAACAGTTTAGTTCTACAGAATACCTGTACATTTCCAATATGCATTCAGTCTCATTGAATTTTTTTTCTCCCTGACATCTGGTTATTTAATCTTCTGCCAACATTGTGTCTGTGAAGCATATTTTTCCAGCTATGCCCACTCAGCTTTTAGACTATTGATGTTTTCACAGAGAACGGTGCATGTGTGTCAAATTATAGCTATTGATCTATGTTTGTTTGTTAATACATACAGTTGTTTAGATAGTGTTATGGCTTGTCTGATTGTGGGTACATAAATAAAAAGAGGAAAAGAGAAAAAAAAGTTCTTTTTATATGAATTTCATTGTTAAGTGAAGACTTTATTTGAATTGAAAATGCATTGGAATCAGTGTCTCTTTAGATATGAGTTATCTTTTTCCATTTTTCAGTATCAAATGGAAGAAATAGGATGTAAAGCTATAAAATAGAGAGAATTCTATTTTTCACCAAAAATAAATCTTTTTAAACTACATTGTGTCAAATTTCTTTTGTCTTTAAAAAATGACTTTTATGCCATCCAACATATTTCTCTCTATTAAATGAATAGTGTCAAAACAAGGTTTAATATTTTCAGTTCCCACCTATTAGAGGTTTTGTTAAAAGTTTTCAAATAAAACATCTTGTCTGACTAATTTTGTTTCTTGACATCTTCTAATATTGTCTTCACTTACACATTGCAATGTTTAGGGTAGAGATGAAATTTAAATGGCTTTAATAATATTAACATTAGTCTTTATTTTAATCAAAACTATCAAGAAGTAATAATACACTAACCTAACATTACCTTTGTGCAATTTCAGTCTTTGCTAGGCTAGGAGGGAAATGTAGAGAAAAGCAAAGTATGGATCATTTAGAAGAATGCAGTCCCATATTTAAGAAAATCCACTTCCAAACATAGAGTGGGTTGCATTAAAACCTATTACTCACATTTATGGGTTTTTTTTTTTTATGCTTTGCAGAGCTTCAGCACCCACTACCACAAGCAGCATGCCACTAGCAAACACAGGTGCCTTGCCAGGGAAATGTGGCTCTCAGAACCAGAAAGCAGACTTATAAAAGGGAAACAAACTAATTTGCTGAAGATCATATAGCTGACTGTTCTCAGCTAAGAACAAGGCCTGAGATATCTCACTCCCAGGCCATTTTGGTAGAGGCTCACTATTCAAGAATCCAGCGTATCTCAAAACACTGCAGGAAAATCTTTAGGATCCCAAAGGCTTGGGTTTGAATTTTGCCCTACCACTTACAAAAGGTATGGTCTAATGTAAGTTACTTATTCTCTCTGAGTCTCACTTTCTTCATGTGTTAAAGAAACTCCCATCCTTCTTAAGATTGTTTTGAAGATTAAATAAAAAACTATTAGAAACTGAAGTATTATGCTAAGAATTGAGACTTCATCAATGACTAAAATATGGTTCCCACATTCCAGAAGATCACATTCTAATGGAAGAAAAGTAAGCTGACATCAAATGAGGGTGTTCATCAAGAAAAGAAACACAAGCGCAATGAGAGCACAAGGAGGGGGACCTGCCGGCATCAGGGCTGGGTGAGGCAGAGGGCGAGGGGCGGCCTTCTAGGGAGATGATGCTCACTTGGTCTTCACAGGTACATGAATGCAATTCAGAAAGTGGAGCAGTAGCTCCAAGCAGAGAGTCCAGCAAGTGGAAGACAAGAAGGCAGAGAAACCACGGTGATTTTCAGAACCTGCAAATGATTCCATGAGAGGAAAACCTATGTGCATGAGTTGCGGGGCATTTTATTTTAGCATTACTTTGGTAATTCCTCCTCCCCTCACTTTTCATTTTCTCTTTTTCTCTTTATGAATTCCCACTGGTTTGAGTTTTTTCTCTTATGATTTTCTTCCCTATTTTCTCTCTATAATTTTCTTAAAGTATCTAAGTATTTTCTTCAATTCCAACTCTTGCATTAATTTTTAATTGTATAACATGCATTTTCAAAATTGCTTCTTCTCTAAGTATTCCTGTTCATAATATCCTACTATTGTTTTCATGGGTGAAATATTTTCTCTCATCCATCAAATATAAGGCCACAAGGACACGGGAGGTTTATCCACATATCCTGAGTGCCTGGAACAGTGACCGGCATAGATTCTTTATGCTCCTTCTTAATGAATATTTATTGGATGAGTAAATAAGTGTTGCTCCCTGAAGC